TTATCCCACATGCAACTCAAAATAATCAGTAACATATTCATAACCAAAATCAAGTGTAAGTCATGCAAGTTATGAAAACACAAATTGCAGTAAGAATACTACCCACAGTACTCATGCTGAAATACCAAATGCTTCACCTCGAGAATTCGTCCAATCAATCTATACCGGCTGATCAGTTGGTGGTGCGTATATAACGCCATAACCTTTCCTAATACCCCATATACATATATTATATGCGTATATAATGCCATCTGGTCATAGGTCAATGTACTTATATAAATGAATGCAATGCATAATGAAGTAAGTCAATAAGATCTCTTGGAATGTCATAAGATAAATATGCCTTCGATTAATATCAATTACGTATTTTCTGAGACCCATGAACAGATGATATAATAATAAGACACATGAGAAATCAAGAACATAGGCACTCCTAGTACTTCTATGAATATAGTCATTTATGAAAGTTGTACGTTTGCTCGTTTCGTTTGTATCATATGGATCATGCTAAAAAGAAAGAAGAGATAGCCTTAACATACCTAGAGTCATCAATGCAACTCAACAACAAGCTTATGATAACTAGCTCGCCAACCATATAACAAAGAAATACGTTTACAACTTAGATGGCAGTGGTATATCACGTATCTCAAATGATAACTCAATTCTAAAATAAAATGGGTAGCATTTCCCGTGATTTCACTACTCCCTCAAGCCTACTATATGCGAGATACAAACACAATACAATCAGCAACTCAAAACCAACCTAATTACAATTCGGAACCTTCAATACAACAAAACCCCCAAATATACTATAACACACCCAATCAACAAGTTATTAATTAGCCTGAAACTGCAACGATGAGCGGCCAACCTACTACCCTACCATATGTGGCGTTTCTCCACGCCATTTTATCCTTCCAAACTCCATAAATCAGAAGCACAATAGGGCAACATGATGGGACTACAAATCAGTCCACTAAAAGTGGGAAAAAATCGAACTCATGGCTTCCGATCACTGTCCCGTGAGTTCTAACTATTAGAAAACTAATTTATCAACCTTCCTTGATATTTAAACACTTAAATACAAAAATTGGATGTTTGTTAACTATGAAGTACCTTACAAAACTCGAAATACAAAGAAAAAAGAGAGGCCATATAATAATACTTACGTCGTAGGGATCGTTCTGATGTTATCACTTATCGATTTCGTACCCGGGATGTTAGTTTTCTTGGAAACCCTATTAGAGAGCTCAAGGATAGGTTTTATGGTGTTCTCTGGTCGGATTCTATGTAAAAATTAAGAGAGAGACAAGTTAAGACCTATATATCAACTTTTAAAAAGTCAAAGAGGTGCTAGCTTGGCACCCTCGTATTGGCCCATCTTCCGACGCTTATATCCTTTTATCCGGATGTCGTATGAATGAACGGTTTAGTGCGTTGGAAACTACATTCCAAGACCTTAAATTTGATATATAAGATGTCCCAAAAATACCTCAAATATTACCCGAAATGTATTTCTCAAAAAGCTCTGTTACAAGGTAAATTCTTAGTCGGTTTTTCCACAACTTAAATCCGATTTTTCCCAAACTTTATATTTTTTATCCAAACATTATAAATATTCATATTATGACTTTAAACTCATTTAAATCGTAATTAACAAGTCTCATATTCATTACGTCACCTTGGGACGCACAAGGTGTAACATTACTTTCCTTTGATATATGTGGTCATATATTAGAAATATTTATAAATAAACAATATGAAGAAGTAGTATCCAATTCATGAATAAATAAGTGGGAGAGTTTAATTCTCTTAGATCTAATTTTTTCCCTACAGAAATTAAAAATGACAAGGTAAATACAGGGAGAATATATTTTTAGTATTAAAGTGCACATTTATTATTTCCTTACAAAATTTCATGCTATAAATATTACAGTAAATTGCCTAAATAAACATATTACAGTAGGCCAGTTTGCCAAGCACATGCATTGAGCGTCAAAAACTTTATAAGATTTTGTCTGAGGCTCATTTTTGTTTGAGTAAAAACCTCAGTTTGACAAGCTTAAAATCGAAAAATCGAACCGAAAATAATCTCATCAAACCGTGAAATAATCGAACCGCACCGAAAATGCTTTGGTTCGGTTTTGATTATTAAACTCACAAATCGAAAATCGAAAAAACCGAACCGAACTTCTATAAAACAGAATTGAATTGACCAACACCAACCCCTAGTCACTTCTAACAAGATTTAAGGAGTTGATTTTGTAAATATTTACGAATTTGGACTAGCACATGGCCATAAACGTGCTAAAGTATAATACTGGATTGTTTCTCTACTTAATAATTTTATGCGTGTGATACTTTCGGTTTGACAAATGGAGTTGTGGTTCAAATCTTAGGATACCAATAACTTCGTCAAATTTTATGGTATTTACACTAATGGAAAGTTCAAATTTATATAAGATACTTTTCGATATGCATGATATTATACATATTAAAAACTAGTGGGGGATTGTTAGAGTAGTTTGTACATATGTGGGAGTCCCACATCTATAGCCACAAGCCAATTTGTTGACGCCCATTAAGTCCAATAAAATGAACAATTAACATATTTAGAAGGATATGTGTATTTATATATATTTAATTATATATCTAAACGACTTGGACTTGGATTTGGGGCTTGGGCCGAATCAGATCTTTATACAAATATTTTATTTTGTATTTTAATTTATGACATATTTTTGTTTATTTAAATATGTGACTTGGATTTGGGGCTTGGGCCGAATCAGATCTTTAAAATTTAAATTTTGAATTAACAGAAAATTTGTGACTTATCGTAAAAGGGGAAACTTTTCTGAAAAAAGTCTCCTTTTTTTCTCTATAAATACGAAGACATCTCTGAAGTAGCGTATCCAATTTGCATATATGTATTCAGGCTTTGTTGTATCCTGATAGAGAATTGCTTGTAATCCCTAAAGGATATTGTCACGACCCAATTTAGGATTGTGATCGGCGCTTAGGAGCAAGTGCTCCCAAGAAAGCCTTATCGGTTTTTGCAGAAAAACGAACAGAGTTTCTCCTGTTTTTGGACTATCCCAAAAGAATATCGTATCTCAAAATCAGCAACCAACCATCCTAATATCAACCAAACAATCAACCACTTATCAATTAACCAAAACAAGTCTTCACCATTACTAATCAACCTACTAACAATCAGAAATACAAATTTATCTCCAAATTCGATAAGAAAGTGCAATACTCATCATAAGTATATAATAACGAAATAATACTCACGACACTAATAAAATAATGATGGAGCAACTCTAAGAGTTCAAAAGAAACAACTATAGCAAATAAATAAAACTCTTCTCCCACGCGAACGAGTGTGGGGCTCACCAAGAAGTATCAACTTGCACGCTCTAATTAACAAAACCTTTGCCTGTTTCAACTGTTGTCTCTGTAAAAATAAATAGCGGGGATTTTGTCGCTAGCTCAGTGAGTAATAACGCTTAACCACAACCGTTTTTATTGGGGACAAGTCAGAAAATATGCTAGTATATATATTAGACAGAAAATATCATAAGAATGCCCTTTCAGAAATAATAAATAATAATCAGTCTCATCATGTTTTTCATGTAATATAAATCAATTGACAATTCGCTAATAAGCTCGGTAAATACTGTGTAATATCAATATTCATGTTTGGTAGATTTCAATGAACGGATCATGTAATCGGTATAACTGTGGAATTCTTCGCAAGAAGTCAAATATAACGGTAGTCCCTACTCAAGGAAAATCAGTAACGGTATGCTAGTTCTACCTTCCCACTAGCGAGGGCTGTAGCGGTAATCGATAATTACAAGGTGCACCAGGTCTAACGAACTCGTCGTTAGCTACGGGATCCTTCAAAGTCTACTCCCATTTATACTTATCTCTGTAATCCGTATATGCTCATAAAAAAATATTTTAAAACAATATAGGAAATTTCGGTTCTTATCAAATTATATAATTTTATTTCGATAATAGTAAATTCAAGTAACGGTAAAACATATCTAGTGACAACAAGAATATTTAAAACAACGGTAATCATCTCAAATAACTATTTCGGTATCATATCGAGTAAAAAATTTATCCCACATGCAATTCAAAATAATCGGTAACATATTCATAACAAAAATCATGTGTAAATCATGCAAGTTATGAAAACACAAATTGCGGTAAGATTACTACCCACAGTACTCATGCCGAAATACCAAATGCTTCACCTCGAGAATTCGTCCAATCAATCTATAATTACATAATATCGATCTCATGTTAATTTCCTTGTTTAGGATAATTCATAGCTAATTTAGAATTCCCAACCCTCGAGGTTTCATATTTGACTCTGAATTCGCCGAATTATATTTACCCATGCTATGAGTAATTTAAATTATTCCAAAATCTTTCAAATAAAAAGGCAATTATATAATAAATTCCCTATACTATTCAATTTCCTTAATCATATATATAGAGATACTAGTTTAAATAAATTACACTGCTATCTTCTCCTTCTTTTATTCTTAAACCTCATGTTGTTTTTCCCCAATTCTCAATCAAATCACACCCTTGTAATTACCCAAGCTTACTATAAAATTCTATATCTAAAATCGATATTGCCACAATAGATGGAAGCATGCTTGTGGTTACCTGGAACTGTATTGTTGAGGCTCAAAAATATGTGCCAATTTCCTTTTGATGGATCACGGTGTTACTGCTAAAGGAAGCAACGAAATTTTTCTAAGTTTGATGCTTTAGTGGCTAAGGGTTTTTCCAATCCTTTAATTTGAACGCTAGGTTCAATCTGATGGGCCTCAGCCTATTTGCCCTCTTTTATATATTATTTTATTGTTTTGGTCTTATTTTATTTGTTTTGCTTTTTTTTCCTTCTAATGACCAATACACCTTTATTTAAGATATAGGGCATTACATTCTCCCCACCTTATAAAATTCGGTCCCCGAAGTTAACTCAAGTAAAAACCTGTAGATTGAAATAGATGAGGATACTTGACTTGCATCGCATATTCCACTTCCCAAGTAGCTTCTTCAACTGTATGATTTCTCCATAATACTTTAACGAACACAATTTCCTTTAACAATAATTTTCTTACTTGCCTAACAACAATAGCCATTGGCTCCTCCTCGTAAGATAACTTCTTATCGAGCGGTATAGTCGGTGCTTCAAGCACCTGAGATAAGTTTGATATATATTTTCTTAGCATTGAGATATGAAACACTGGATGAATAAAAGACAACTCGGGAGAAAGTTCCAAACGATAAGCCACAGCTCCCACTCGGTCTAATATCTCATACGGTCCTATAAACCTGGGACTTAACTTGCCTTTATTCCCAAACCGCATCACACCTTTCATAGGGGAGATTCGTAGGAACACTTTGTCCCCAATTGTGAACACTAGATCTCTTCTTCTCTTGTCTGCATAAGACTTTTGTCTACTTTGAGCTGTGAGTAATCTTTGTCTTATCAACTGGACCTTGTCAATAGCTTCTTGTACTAAGTCGAGTCCCAATATGTTAGTTTCACTAGCTTCAAACCATCCAACAGAAGAACGACATCTTCTACCATACAATGCTTTGTATGGTGCCATTTGAATACTAGACTGGAAGTTATTATTGTAAGCAAATTCAGCTAAAGGTAGATAAGCGTCCCAACTACCTCCAAACTCAAGAATGCAAGCTCTCAACATATCCTCCAAGATCTGTATAGTACGTTCAGACTGCCCGTCTATTTGCGGATGAAATGCGGTACTAAGGTCTACTCGTGTACCTAATACTTATTGAAAAGATTTTCCAAAGTGTGAGGTAAATTATGATCCTCTATCAGATATGATGGATATTGGAACTCAGTGAAGTCGGACAATTTCGTTCATAAATATCTGTGCATACCTTACTCCAACATATGTAGTCTTTACTGGCAAAAAGTGTGCTGATTTTTTCAATCGATCTACAATTACCCACACAAAATCATAACCTCTAAGAGTACGGGGTAGGCCAGTCACAGAATCCATGATAATTCTTTCCCATTTCCACTCTGGAATCTCAATTTATTGTAGTAGTCCTGCGGGTCGCTGATGCTCAGCCTTGATCTGCTGACAAGTCAAATAGTTAGAAACAAAGTTAACAACATCTTTCTTCATACCTTCCCACCAATAAAATTGCTTGAGGTCATGGTACATTTTAGTAGATCCAGGATGTATAGTGTATTTAGAGTTGTGGGCTTCTTTAAGAATAGCATGTCTCAACCCATCTACGTCTGTGACACATAGCTTGTCACCCATTCGAAGAACACCATCACTTTCAACAATCATATCCTTGCTTTTACCAGCTAAGGCCCCATCTCTGTATTTGCAAAATCGCTCATCCTCATATTAGGTGGCCGTAATGCGCTCAACTAATGAAGACTTAGCGTGAGCACAAGCCAACAATGCCTCTGAATCTCCGACACTAATTTTGATACCCGCACCTTCTAGTCTCTGAATATCTTTGGCCAAAAGTCTCTTTGTATAAACTATATGTGCCAAACTCCCCATAGATTTTCTACTCAATGCATCAGCCACCATATTGGCTTTTCCAGGATGATACAAAATAGAACAATCATAGTCCTTGAGTAGTTCCATCCACCGACACTGCCGAAGATTTAGATCTCTCTGCTGAAAGATATACTTCAGACTTTTATGGTCAGTATAAATCTCACAAGTTTCATCGTATAGGTAATGCCTCAAAATATTTAGAGCAAATATCACTACAGCCATCTCCAAATCATGTGTAGGATAGTTTTGCTCGTGCTTTTTCAATTGTCTCGAAGCAGAAGCTATAACGCGACCATTTTGCATGAGAACACATCATAATCCCACCCTCTATGCATCATAGAACACCGTAAATCCTCCAGAACATGATGGTAAGGCTAATATGGGTGCGGTTATCAGACACGTTTTGAGTTTTTAAAAGCTCTGCTCACATTCTTCTGTCCACTGAAACCTTGCATTTTTCTGTGTTAGCTTAGTTAGTGGCGCTATTATTCTGGAGAAATCCTGCACAAAACGCCTGTAATAGCCTGCCAAGCCTAAAAAGCTACGAATCTCTGTAGGAGAAGTAGGTTTGGGCCATTTTTGCACAGCTTCTGTCTTCTTAGGATCTACCATAATTCCATATTTGGATACAACATGCCCCAAAAATGCTACTAAATCTAGCCAAAATTCACACTTCGAGAACTTAGCATAAAGCCGATGTTCTCTCAATGTCTGCAACACAGTCCTCAGATGATTCTCGTGTTCTCCTTGACTATGAGAATATATAAGGATATCATCAATAAATACTATTACAAATCTATCGAGAAATGACTTGAACACCATATTCTTTAAATCTATAAATGCAGCTGGAGCGTTAGTCAGTTCGAAAGGCATCACCAGAAACTCATAATGCCCGTACCGAGTCCTGAAAGAAGTCTTAGAAATATCTTCATTTTTTATTCTAAGCTGATGATAACCACATCGAAGGTCAATCTTTGAAAAGTGGGCAGCTCCTTTTAACTGATCAAACATGTCATCTATACGAGGCAAGGGATATTTATTACGAATTATTATCTTGTTCAACTGCCTGTAGTCAATGCACATTCTTAGAGATCTGTCTTTCTTCTTTACGAACAATACTGGTGCACCCCATGGTGATACACTAGGTCTAATAAAACCCTTATCTAACAAATCCTGTAATTGTTGCTTTAGCTCCCTCAACTCTGTTGGTGCCATCCGATATGGGGGTATTGATATGGGTTGTGTGTCAGGTGGCAAATCAATACCAAAGTCTATTTCTCGCATCGAAGGTAATCCTGGTAAATCCTCAGGAAATACATCAAAAAATTCTCTCACTACTACTACATTTTCTATACTAATTGTTTCCTTTATTGTGTCATTTACAATAGCTAAGAGACCCAAGTATAGAAGTTGTTGAGCCTTCATAAAAGATACAACTTTGCAAGTCTCTAAAACCTGACCCCCTTTTAGAATAAAACTAGGTTCGTTTGGTATCTCAAATTTAACTATCTTTGCATGACAATCGACGATAGCATAGCAAGAAGATAACCAATCCATTCCCATCAGCATGTCAAAGTCAATCATTTCAAATACAATAAGGTCAGCTAGAGTATCTCTACCCTCAACCCAAATCTGACAAGCACGATACACGTATTCAGTTAATAGAGACTCTCTAACAGGAGTAGCAACTAGGAAAGGATCATTCAATAGCTCAGGTTGTCAACCAAACCTCAAAGCAAAGTACGAGGACACATAGGAGTGAGTAGATCCCGTATCAATCAATGCAAGTGCATCAAAATGAACAGACATAAAGAATACCTGTAACCACAATATTCGAGGCCTGAGTATCCTGTCTAGTAAATGCAAAAACCCTTGCCTGACCTCTACCAGCATTCTCTTGTCCTTGATTCATAGTAGCATGATCGCCATCACCTCGGCCTCTATTTCTTATACCTGTAGCACCTGAAGTATTACGAGTAGTCTGCGTAGGTGCAGCTGACTGGATAGGAACTTGGCTGAAATTCCTCGGAGGCTAAGGGAAATCCCTCAAGTGATGTCCCAACTGGCCACACCAAAAGCACTCTCCAGTCAGAACACGACACTAGCCCAAATGTGATCTACCACAGGTTTGGGAGACTGGAGTAGTGGCATATATCTTCCGAGAATTACGATGTCCAGATGATGATGGTCCCCTAGTACCCTGTCTGTAATGCGGTTTGTATGTGGACTGTGAAGACAAATGTGTCCCTGTCTGAGAACCCTGTTTATGTTGTCCATGATTTCCTGTTCTGCGATTTTCACTAAAACCGCCATTCCTGTCTTGGCCTTTTTACGTAATTCACTAGTTGCACGCTCATCACGTCCCTTATTTTCAATCTTTAGCGAGATCAACTGCATCAGTGTAGGACAAAGTCTTCATCTGTGGGACTATTGCAGTGTATAGACGACCAACCAACCCATCAACAAACCTCCGAACTCAAGCTTCATGTGTAGGCACTAAGTAAGGAGCATATCTCGCCAGATTACAAAACTTCGTGTTTTATGTTGACACATCCATATCTGGAATTTGAACCAATCTCTTAAAGTCTCTAGCATACTTTTGCCTCAGGATATCTGGAAGAAAATGATCCATAAACAACTTACTGAACTCGTCCCATGTCAGTGGGGCTACTCTTGTTGGCCTTTCAAGCAATATAGTTTCATACTATATGTTAGACATATCCTAAAGTTTGTATGTTGCGAGCTCCACAGACCTCTTACTAGAATATCTTAGAGCACGTAATTCCTTGAGTGTCCCATCCAAGAAACTTTGAGGATCTGCTGAATTATCAGAACCTGTGAATTTCGGTGATTCTAATTTCAGGAACTCTTGCAAGGATACCTCCTTATTCCCGAAAGTCTGAGTCTGTGCAGATACTTGTGTCTGTAAAGTAGCCTGAGGAGTTGAACTTCCACCTAGAGTAGGAACCAATGCCTCTAACACATTTAATAACCTTTCCACTGCGTCTGCAGGTAAGGTCACAGTAGGTACAACAGTTGGCACTGGTGATGGAGCGTCCTGAACCCCCTGTTCTTGCACTTGATCTAGCATAGTAGCTTGGGATTGACCCATGTTTCCAACTTCAGGTTGAGGAACAGCCTGTCTTCTAGTTTGATGAACCCCAACTTGACCGCCACCTCGGGTAGTACCACGTCCAGCACCACGTCCAACAGATGAGGGTGTGCGTGTCCTAGCCATCTGCGAAAGAAATACTCCAAAATCAATCTCAAGTTATCTTAACGCACTATCAAGGAATGAAAGAAGGGGAAACATCCTAAATGCTTAGTAGCCTCAAGATCATAAGTATGGGCGCCTACATACCCATGAACAAGACTCTACTAAACATTCCTCCATGACTCGGAACTTAAAGCCTAAGCTCTGATACCAACTTTGTCACGCCTAGGATCGTGACCGGCGCTTAGAAGCAAGTGCTCCCAAGAAAGGTTTATCGGTATTTTACAGAAAAACGGACAGAGTTTTCCCTGGACTATCCCAAAAAAATATTCTGTCTCAAAATCATCAACCAACCATCCTAATATCAACCAAACAATCAACAACTTATCAATTAACCAAAATAAGTCTCCACCATTACTAATCAACCCACTAATAACCAAAAATACTAATTTATCTCCAAATTCGATAAGAAAGTGCAATACTCATCATATGTCTATAATAACGATAGAATAGTCACGACACTAATAAAATAACGATGGAGCAACTCTAAGAGTTCAAAAGAAAAGACTATAGCAAATAAATAAAACTTTTCGCCCACGCGAACGAGTGTGGGGCTCACCAAGAATTATCAACTTGCGCGCTCTAATTAACAAAACCTTTGCCTACGTCAACTGTTGTCTCTGTAAAATAAATAGCGGGGAGTTAGTCGCTAACTCAATGAGTAATAACGCTTAACCACGACCATTTTTATTGGGGATAAGTCATAAAATATGCTAGTATATATATTAGAGAGAAAATATCATAAGAATGCCCTTTCAGAAACAATAAACAATAATCAGTCTCATCATATTTTTCATGTAATATAAATCAATTGACAATTCGGTAGTAAGCTCGGTAAATACTGTGTAATATCAATATTCACGTTTGGGAGGTTTCAATGAACGGATCATGTAATCGGTATAACTGTGGACTTCTTCCCAAGAAGTCAAATATAACGGTAGTCCCTACTCGAGAAAAATGAGTAACAATATGCTAGTTCTACCTTCCCACTAGCGAGGGCTGTAACGGTAAATAATTACAAGGTGCACCAGGTCTAACGAACTCATCGTTAGCTGCGGGATCCTTCAAAGTCTACTCCCATTTATACTTATCTCTGTAATCCGTATATGCTCATAAGAAAATATTTTAAAACAATATAGAAAATTTCGGTTCTTATCAAATCATTTAATTTCATTTCGATAGCAGTAAATTTAAGTAACGGTAA